CATAGAAAATAAATAATTTTATATTAGCTTCTCAATATTCTTCAAAATTATTAAGTTGAAGTTATAAATAAGACCTAAATAAAAAATATAATAATAAATAATACTTTTTAAAATTAATGTATACACTGGTACATTATTTCAATATTAGTATTTAATAAAAAAATAATCGGCATTTTTTATCTGTTTTATCTACTGATATAAGTTGAAATTGTATATTGCAACTTACTTGAGACACAGAATGATAAATTTAGAAGTTCTGTAACCTGAGGATTTCTCTACTTTCACTATTGAAAGAAATTTGAAGAGAGCGTAGTACGGGATGTTAGTAGATGTCTCACGTTTTCATCTAAATATTAAAGTCCATGATTTAATATTTTAAACGATAATAAATAATAGATTTATCTGATTTATAACACACGAAATATGTTTAATAATATATGTTTTTAATGTATAAGTGTACTTTCAATATACATATAATACTTTCTTTAACATATATTTTTTATGTGATCGCACAAAATTGAGAAATAAAGAATATTTACATTGATAAATAAAAATGTAGAAATATAAACAAAAATTCTCAAAGATATTGTTATAAGAATCTAAAAATCATTTTCATTCAAATCATCAAAATTAATTAATTGTATTTAATTAAGTTTTATTTTTTAAATATACAATTTTTATTGCTTTATTAAAAATAAATAGGAAAAAAAATAAATACAAATTTGTGTGATGTCGCAATTAAAACGGTTCTTTATTTCTTCACTTACATTTAATTATCGTAGATGTTAGTTTTGACTAATGACTAACTTAAGAAGTAAATTGGGTATAGCACGAGTACATTGTGCCATTGATAAAATATATTTTGTTGTTTTATTACGTGTTGTGTCACGAATACAAAATCCTAAAAAATAATGTTAATCGCGATCGATAAGATGTTATGCTAATCAATAAGCAGCGATGCAATTTCTATCCTCGTGTCTTTGACCTTGTAATTGAAAACCATACCAGAAGGGGAAAGAAACTCGCACGTAGCAGTTTTCAGGCAAGACTTGTTACTCGATACCGTTTGTTGGAGGATCGGAAGTCTCTGACGTGTGGTTGTTGTGATTCTGCTCAGGGTTTTGCGTGTGTGATGTCTTTTGAGGGCTAGGGCGACCAGCCAAAAATGTAGCAAATTTTTCCTGCAAGAAAATTATTATTGTATATATTGCGATGAAAAGATATTAATTTAAAAACATCTTCCAATAACTGATTTATCAAGATGGTAAAAAGAAAATTGAGATTTATATCAATATAAATATTTTCATAAGCTTTTTATATTTTCTTTAAATAATGTATCTATAATTTCAAATAATTACAAGTGCATACTTACCAACATTAAATTTACAGTTGAATTCAGCTTTTCAATACCAGAGCGTATAATAGATATTTGTTCTTTTACCGTATTGCTCTTACCTATAAGCGCAGGTATCATCTGCAAAATATAATATGCACAGAATAAAACCATTATTAAAATAAATATAAAAACATTTATTTACACGCGTTAAATTGTATTTTTTAAAAATAAGCACTGATTGAAAATATATTTTATTTATAAAAGTAATACGTGTATTTTATTTATTTCATGCGTATATCTTATTCTTTAAATCATTTTTCTTAATTTGATCAACATGTGCGATTAAGAAAAAGTATATCTTTTCACAATTTTTATAATTATGCATTAAAAATATTCTCTTTATATTGATTGCGTTATAAATGCGACAAATCAAGCCGGATCAGTGAAGTTGATGTAACCTGCAATGAAGCATTTGCGATGTCAAGTAATTGATGAGAAAGCTGGGCAAGTAGATGACTTAAATGCCTTGGAGTTCTCGTTGCCAATGCCATCGTACCATTCACTAGATGCACTATGCGCCGTGTGGATTCGCGCGTCAAAAGCACGAGGAACTGTTCGAGCGTTTCTGGACGCGCCTGATTTTCAGGCTCGGGTTGACTCAATGAACCCCATAACGCTTTTGCTTTTTGCATAGCTAATTTTGGATCCGTGACTATCTACGCATACATTAAAAATTGATACTCGTTCGATATATTAAGTTCGCGTTTTGAACAGTTTTGAAATAGGCACATGATTATATCAAAATAACGAGGAAATTCAATGTTCATGTCGTAGTAAGTATTTATATTGATATTTAATATTTGAATTTCTTTTCATTTGTATGATCTGTGTGTATTTGTAAATATTTATTATGCGAAGATCAGTGAATGTTCTTGTGATCTCGATCATGTACCTATCTCCGAAGTTATTCTCATCAAAACTTTCTTATCGAATCCATTTATAGATATTTATATAGATATTTGTATAAACAGTTCTAAATTTAAAATACAAAAAGATATAAATGGCAAAGTTCGAATATCTTAATATATATTCACACATTTTATAAAAGTATAAATTTTTACGTTCTATTGTGACCCACATTAAAATGATTTTCCTAGAATCTCAAAACAATCTCGCAATGGAAAAATATGTCTGCACGATGTATGCAAACCTTGCTTTTAAGGAAGAATTTTAAGTAACTTATCATATAAATGTTTATAGTTATTATTTTTTCAGACATAAAATATATATGTAAGATGTCTTATTTAGTATCTCATAGCTACAGTAATATTTTTTTTTGTCAGCGATTATTTTGCACAAACATCTTTCTAATCATTTGTAATAAATATGTTACTATTAAAAAATTTTAAAATGTAGGGGAATTGTGCGCAGCGGGTAATTGTGCGCATGCTTTAGTATTTTTCCAATAGATGAAGACATCACCGTGAAATTTTTATGCAGAAAGCCTCCTCTTAAAATATAACTAGAAAAGATACGTAATATACATAAATATATTGCTGGCCAGAGAAATACAAAAAAGTGACTCTTTTCTTGTTATTTTAGCATTCAGAAAATAAGATATGTCCGTATTTTTAATTTATTTGTTTGCATACGTTATTAAAGTACGTGCACCTTTTCACTTGTTATTTATGAAGTTTGATTAGAAAGATTGTTGAAGTAATCGTATTTCATATCGAGTAGCAGCAGGCAACTGTGCGCAAGTGTTTTGAAATGCGCACAATTACTCATCTTCTATATACTGTATGATTATAACACTAATTTTTTCGTTCCTGCTTGGCATTATTATTTTATTTTGCCATTTCATTTTGCTAAGATTTATGTGCATTTATTAATATGTATTTTTTTTTAAATATATTTTCTTAGTATATTTAAAATATATTTATAATAAATATATTTTCTGATTTCTTTGTCAACATTCCACAATTCATTTCGTACGACTTTTGTTTTAAGCATAATTACTCAATCCATGCGCACAATTACTCGAGATTTTTTCGCTTTTTCGTTTTTTTGATTAAATACAATCTTATTAAATGAAAATCCGTTCGATATGACTAATGTACGTAATGTAGAAAAATATTTATAGTCTCTATTTCTAAATTTATATCACTTTAAACTTTGAAAATTCCAGGGGCAATAAATTTCCCTACATTTCCCTAGGTGCGCACAGTTCCCCCACTTTCCCCTATCAATATATGTTATGAATCTGTACGATATAAAATATAATGCATCAAAAGCTAAATAATTTTATCATAATATTATAAGGATTAGTAAGATGTAGACGATATCTGAATGTATTATACATGTGCACATTTTAATAATTAAACTGTGTATGAGTATGTTGATGAATGATAAATCGATTAAATCTCGAGCCTTACCAATTCCACGACATATATAAGAACATGGACGCACTCTGTTCCTTGCTGTTTGAGTGCGCGCGCCTCGGCTAAAGTGCGTTGCGTTAATCTTCTTTGTAGGTTTCGCGAGAACCTCGCGCCATGTTTAATCGTTCGTATCGTTTTGCTCATGGTTTTATTGGAACTGACTTCTAAAACACGAATTCGCAAACATTTAACTCTTATTTTTACTGTCACACGCTTTAGTCATGTATAAAATAATATTTCATATATATACGTATAATATGTATAATATACATAAAATGAATTATTTTTGATCGATATTTATAGTATAATCGGATCTCATATAAGATCATTCTTAAAGTATAGTATTAAGATGTTATAAATCAATCAGAGAATCTTACGTGTTAGCAGTTTAAGACATTACTTAAGACGATTTTAAAATGAGAATGGACTATAATATCGCCTTTTGAACAAAGTTCAATTCTATGATTAAAAAATATAATATAATATTATTACATACGCAAAATTTTATAAAATTAAAAAAATCTGAATTATAAAGTAGATGTAGGTGCATTACATTATGAGCATTGCAAGTAAGATAAGCACCATTTATTTTTGCTATGAGTATTTGATACTACAATAGTAATTTGCTGAAAACTGAAAAAATCTTCACAACATATTTTTTTCTCAATATACTTTGGAATTTAAACAAATTTTATTTATTTCAGAAATTTATCGCAAATTAAATAATCATTATGTTGTTGATATTTAATTCGTTATTTTCCTATATTAAGATAGAATATCTTGTTCTATATGTCAGTATTCGTAAAGAATATTCAGTCTAATCTCACAAACTTCTAAATCATTATTGATTTGTAAATATAGTCGAATAGGATGCATTATGAGCATCCTATGAGCAGGTTGTCTATTATGAACATGCATAAGTATGTTATCAATTTTCACAAATTGAAAGATAAGGTATTTTATGTTATTTAAATTACCACTTTGAACTTTAATTCACATAGAATTCTAATTTTAAAAAATTAAATATTATTAATTATGAAAGTTATTTTAAGTGTAAAATATATATTCGGTATTAATAGATTTGAATGTTATATGAGTGGATAAATAATATATTGTATGTTATAGATACCTGATAATTTCATTTTAGGATGTCAAAGAAGCTGCGCACATAAAAATCAATAACACGATCTTTTATTTATGCACATAATTTCTTTCAAAAAAATTTTTTTAGCTCACATTACTTAGGAATGTCCACATTATTCTATTGAAAGTTAATATGAGTATTGATTGAGTAATATAAACACCCTACTATTTCCATATTTACATTAAAATAATTAACTTTTATATCAAAATATATAAAACAACAAACTTATCAAATGATAGAAACAAAGTTTTTTCCATCCTATACAAGAAATATTTTCTTAAAATGTTTTCTTAAAATGCTTACAAAATCTAATCCTATTGTATTTACCATCTTTATCAGTTTGATGTTTATTAGCTGAATCTTTATCAGTTGAATCTCCTGGTAAGTAACGATCCATATATTCGTCCGCAATTGTCAGCGCACCGTCCAATCTATCAGCAGCAGCGTTGGCAGCTTGACTACCGATTTGCTTAACATTTCCGGCACGTATTAGAACCGGTTTAACAATTTTCTTATTTACATAGTCTCGCGTATTTAAATATATCTAGAGCATGAAACAAGATTAATTTGCAACGATTTTATCAAGATTATTAATCTACACGAGATAAACCAATCAATTTAATTGATTTCCACAAAATTCATTTTTCTGTTTAAGTTGAATTTATAATATTAATAGAAAATAAATATTCTTTTAATTGTATTATTTGTATATTAATATAAATGTGTAATTATGCTCTACTTTATGAATACATTTGCAAGGATATGTATATATCTCCATATAAATTTCGCATATTGTCATATAAAAAAGATTTGTAAATTTACAACATGAGGGGGAAGTTGCACTGCCGGTACTTTCTGCTCAACGATGTCGATACCTTTGTACAATAATTGATCAATTGTCATAATGGGTCTATTAAGTGCAACAATTACTGGTCTTGCCTTTGCCGTAGCAATCGCTAATGACTGCTCCGCTGTATCTAAACTCCAATTCATTAAAGAATTCGAACGCTAAAGAAAGAAACAGTTTAAATTATTAAAAAAACTAACTGAAAAAAATGAATGTGAAAACAATGATTAAATGATAATTAACTTGAAAATAGAATTATTTGATTGCACTTATATTTTTTATTGTTGTCATTTAAGATTTCTGCAAATGTCGTATTTTGTTTGAATAAATGAAAACAAAATTTATCATTTTTTTAATGGCATGATGAGCGACATTTTGTATTATATTAGAATTTAAATCTTTATTTTGAATGTACCTTTATTCTGGTATACACATTATTAGCGATGTATATACCGCTTTCTATGATAGGAAGACTGGAGAGCTTAGTCACAGATTTAAAATGCGGCAAATCCGAATGCCGCCTTTTCGCATTTGTTTCCCCCATATGGAAAATAGTTGCTGCAATTAAAAAATTAAATTGCTGGATTATAAAATAAAAAAAAATCATTAACTCAATAATAATCTGCTTATAATCTAGCGTATTTTAATGTGTGTATTTTAATATTGTAAGCAATTTCCACAGTTTACAATTGCCGAATATTAAAAAAAAAAAATTTTTTTTTAATTCTAAAAGAACCTTTTTCAGTTTCTTAAAACAATCTCAGATATTTTTATTTTATCTATCTTACATACACATTTTCTTGAAAGAAAAAAATTCTGATTAATCATGCATTTATTCTTTAAAAAATTCTTTAATTAATATTCATAAATTCATATATGTTAAAAAATTGCTCGAAAACAGCTGAAAAACATGGCTTATTAAAACGATTGACATTAAGTCATACATATTTAATTTCTTCGGACGTAAGTGTATTTGTATTTTGTAATAAGTTCTTAATATCATGCAATGTTAATGTGCAAGCAATTGCATCATGTAAGCAATTAATATATATTTATTAATTGTATTGTAGTATATTTCTCTCCATGTATTATAATTTTATAAAATAGCATACTATTTAAAATAATTTACGCAGCGCTTCGATCAAATAATCTCTCTCTCTCTTTTTTTTCATTTAATTTAAGAAAGAAAATCTCATATTTATGGATAAGTACTCTCTTCCCTTCTAATTGTGGCTAATAAAGAAAAGATTATCGCTAAAACATCAGTACACGGAAAAACACGTTTTCTTCTCTAAATGTTCTTCTCTAAACGACGCCATATGTCACTCAAAAGAAACGATTCATTTAGCATCCATCTGTGAACCGATAAGGGAGATCATAGCGGGAGGGGATAGTAATAAAGATTTTATTTTGTGGTTAATTATCGAGGCAATATATATATATGACTGTTTTGCACGCATCAAATAATCTTCTCTCAAGTGGATGAAATACTATTAGATTAGCACGATTCGCTGATAATAGGATGAGAGAAGAAATTTATTAAACTCGTCGCTATTCCATTAGAACTCTCAACAGGACTTTCACCTGTAGTTCACTGTTGAGGACAATCGAAGTGAGAAAGAAACTCCCTCCGGTGAAATTTCCCTATAAGCGATTATGCCGACGGATATTCTGACTTTCTCGCAGAGATCAAACTTTCTTCGTGTGCATATATGGAACATTGCATCTGTACTGTCTACTACTTATCTGCGAGATTATATTAAGTATGAGAAAAAATTCGTGGCGTTCCGTATCGTTAGATAGCAGTTAAAAAAACGCCACGAACTTTTTCCCACACCTAATATTTTTGCTCTTGTATCGATATATTTATTACATTTTGTTTTAAATAATTTGTACACCTGCAGGTAGTCTATAATTAGCAAGCTGATATTATTTGATATCAAAATCAGAACAAATAACGTCATCTTGCTATATCTAGGAGAGTAACAAATGTTTCTCTCACCTATTTAATGATATTTAATTTGTTATTTATTTCCCTTGAGATATTCTATTTAATGATTATATTGTCGTAATTTCGTCTCCAATTAAATCTTAATGTGATCTATCGCAACTATAAATCATCAATCATATTTGTTAAGCGTCAAAGTATTTACGTAGACTCAATGCGAAAAATTCAATTGCGTATTACTCACATTTTTATCTTTCGCTGTTTCTTTCCTCACACTTCAAGTCAATCACTACTAATTGCTGATTTCGCACAAAGATTGTATTACCCTTTCCTCTTTTTTATTTCGCTCTCGGTTCAACTGTATAATCAGCTATACAACCACATTCAAATACTCATATACATATGCTTGTGCACATATAAACATGCACGCATGCATGAGTATATACAAATTATCAATTCGGAATAAATCAGTGGAAATGAATATTCATACGACGAAAATTCTTACCTAAGAGCAAAGGCGAGATGAAACGGGGGAAAACTACGGGTTCTGAATATCGTGTACTGGGCCAATCGCGTCCGAATCTGCTATCGGATGAACGAAGAAAACTCGGCGTTTCGACCGCAGAACGCGCCGTTGACTGCTCGACGAAGACTACAAATGGATATCTCATCGGTTTGACCTATGACACATCGATTATATATGAATACGACGTTAATGACGCACGAATACAAATCTTTTTCTATGCGCATCTCTGTACGTGGAAATCGGAAAAAGACGTAGACACTGAATCAATTTTATATGAAATGGATTTCGTATTTGCAAATAAAATGGGCAGGCGGTTGGCGAAATTTTAATTCTATGTTACTATTTTTTGAAAGGAGATATTATTCTTGACTGCTTAATGTTTTGAATGTTCCCCTTTTCTTCAAAATTCTTATTGATAATTGTGTCATAATTACGAATTTATAAGAATGTTTATTTTATTTTTATCAAATCGATCACTTTTATTGAGCTTTCAAATTCTTCCAAGCTATATTTAAATTATTATTGTACCTCTTATCAATAAAATATTGCGACATACATACATTATTAACAACGATATTTGAGGTATCAATCAACTTTCAAATCCAATTTTTTAATGATTTTTTAATTTGACTTTTATCATTATTTTTTACCATAATTTAGATAACAAATTTGTATAAATATATTAGATGTGAGAAAAAGTTCGTGGCGTTTTTCCCGTTAGATGACATTAAAAAAACGCCACGAACTTTTTCCCAACCTAATATAATGTACCTATTATAATGTAATTTAATAATTCATTCTATAATAGCTCTCATTCTATAATAGCTCCTTTATTTGTTTATTCTCATTCTATAGAGGATATCACGTCAAACTTGGTGCGTTGGTTAAATGTAAGACATCATGGATTATTGCCCCAGACGTTAGACAGCTCGCAAAAATGAATCAAGCAAAAAGCAACTATGAAAAATTCGAAATTATCTCGGGCAGACGCTCTTAATTATTATGCAAAGTCCACTTTGCAATTTTGTCTTTACAAAGATAAATATGTCCATGTTATAAATTTATTTATTGCTAATTTGTGCTTATCTTGTCTAATAACCCTGATTTTATTTATTGGATGAAATTATTCTTGTCTAATCTAATTCTTTAAATATATTCAACAATCGCTGATATATGTTTAAAATGTTCTCAGCAAGAAGAATATAACAAATCGAGACAATTTCCTTGTCTTCATATGAATTATCAAATATGAAAGGAATAAAACTCAATGCATTATATGATGTTAAATGTGATGTCATTCTATTGGGTTGTCCGGAAAGTTCGTGCCGATTTTGAAGGAAAATTGAAACGCAGAAAATTTAAATTTTAATATACATTTATTAAATTATATAGGTGCCATTCTGTTCTACAACCTTTCTCCATCTTTCAGACTTGAAAATTCCGTCCTTCCAGAATCTCTTAGGTTTTTCAACGAAAAAAACTTTTTTAAGTGATTTTTCACCTCGACCAAAGAGTTGAAGCTTTTTCCATTAAAGGAATTTTGTAATAATCGAAATAGGTGGAAATCAGATGGCGCGAGGTGTAGTGAATATGATGGATGGGGGGGTAGAACATCCCAACCGAGTTCCAATAACTTTTGTCGAGTTATCAAAGACACATGAGGCCGCGCATTGTCCTGATGAAACACAACGCCCTTCCGATTCACTATTTTTGGACGTTTTTATTCAATTGCTGTCTTCAATTCGTCTAATTGGGAACAATACTTCTCTGAATTTATCATCTCGTTGTTTGTAAAAGCTCATAATACAGGATCCCTTTCCAATTCCACCAGACACAAGCATGACCTTCTTTGAATGAAGACTTTTGGGGTGGCTAAAGGTGGTTCATTCCGATTCCCCAAGATCTTTTTCGCACAACATTATTGTAAATGATCCATTTTTCATCCCCCGTCACTACTTGCTTCAAAAATGGTGTCTTTTCGTCGCGTTTATAGAGCGAGTCGCAAATGGAAATGCGATCCATCAGATTTTTCTCCGTTAAATCGTGGGAAACCCATACATCAAAACGATTTATGTAGCCAAGCTTCACAAAATGCTCGTGAATAATGGATTTTGATATATTCAACATTTCTACTAATTTACGTGTCGTATAGCGTGAGTTATTCTCGATCAATGTTTTAATCTGATCTTCATCTGTGGAGAGCCTACTCGGGCTTTCTTGATCTTCAAGGTTGAAATCACCAGCTTTAAACCTAGCAAACCACTTCCGCATAATTCTTTCAGCTACAGCACTTTCGCCATAAACAGCGCATATCTTGTTTGCCGCTTGTGTGGCGTTTTTGCCTTTCCGGTAAAAGAAAAGCATTAAATGCTTAAAATGCACTTGGCTTTCTTCCATATTCAAAGGCGTATAAAACTGACAAAAATTAACGTATCACAATCAAATTTTTTTCCAAGTATGCCTGCAGTACTGTCTTTTACAATATGTACGCATGTATTTGTTTTCAATCGTTCTGATATATTCAAACCTGTCCTTACACCACCTACCAAAAATCGGCACGAACTTTCCGGACAATCCAATATTTAATATGATATAAAGTATAATATTTGTCAATTAATAAAAAATAAAAAGAAAAAGTATAACATACATAATCTAAATTTTAAAAATTCTATTAATTTTATTATGTATAAACATATTAATTAATTAGGCAATTAATT